ATCGCGCTCTTGCGCGGGGCTACCTTACAATTAATCAGGCATCGCGCTCCTGCGTGGGAACCCATTGCAATGCATTAGAAACCGCGCCCTCGACACTCAGGAATCACGCTCTCGATATGGACTTCTCTAAGATTTATTCAAATCGCGCTCTTGCGCGGGACTTCGTCGCAATCCCACCAGCCCTCTGGGCGCAGGTGGTTTGGGGATTTTCCTCTTCCACCCCCCTTCTTCCCCTTCGGGGAGGGCTTTACTCCTCCCTCCCAACCCCCTCCCTTGGACCTGGACGGGGCGCCACGCGAGGTGTCAGAAGGTAGTGGCGCCAAGACGGCCTCCGAGAGCCCAAGATGACCTCCAAGATGGCTGAAGATAGGCCATGATGCCTCAAGCTGGCTCCCAAAATGCCCCAAGAAACCTCAATAACGCTCTTAGACGGCTCCAACAGGCCTCCGAGACTTCCCGGGGGGGCCCCCAAAAGGCCAACATCCTTCACAAAACCGAGGAACACCAATGCTTTTTGCATCGCCCGCTCGCTTCCGATAGCCGTCCGAAGCCTCAAGATGGCTCCAAAGTGGCCTTCGGAGGGACCCGGGAGTGCCTCAAGACGGCCCCAAGAGCGCCCAAGAGCGCTCCAGAGCGCCCCCAAGGCAAAGCGCCCAAAAAGGCGATTCTAAACGCTATAAAGGGGCAGCCCGAATTAAGGACCCCCCTCTTTTTTTTTGATCGATGTCCTCCAAAATGGCCCCAAAAGCCGCCCAGGAGGCCCCACGGGGCCCCTGGCTCCAAGATGGCCCCTGAGAGGTCCCACAAAGCCCCCAAGAAACCCCCAAGAGGACCCCAACCGGCCTCAAGAGGCCTCCCCGAGGCACCCAAGACGCCCCAAAACCCCCCAGGACTGCCAAGAGACCCCCAACACGTCCCAAGCGGCTTCCAAGAAACGCCCAAAAGATATCCCAAGAGGCCCCGAGAGGCATCCAAGAAACCTCTGGCCCCCTTGTTCGCCCTCCTCCTCCTCCTCCTCCTCCTCCTCCTCCTCCCTCATCGTCCTCCTCCTCTTCCTCGTCCTCCTCCTCCCCCTCCTCCTCCTCTTCCTGTTCATCATGCTTGTCTCTCCTCCCTCATCTATCCATCCTCCTCCCTCTCCTCCGGCTGTCCCCCTCTTTGCCCGTGCACTTCCCTCATCACCTCAACTCGCCTGGGCGTCGTTTCTAGATGGGCTGGTGGGGGTGCTTTTTGGTCCGCGGGTGCGCGAAACGAATCGAACGCCGAGCCTGCTACGGCGGGCCGCGCCGGTAGCGAGGAGAAAAACAATGAGCGACGGCGCGCGGCTGGTGGGGGTGCTTTTTTGATCGCGAGCGCAAGCGGTCCAACCGCGCGCCGAAAGAAACGCGGCAGCCGCGCCAAGCTCAAATTAGGCACTGAGCGCGCAGGAGCGAACTGCGCTGCTGCTCAGGGGGCGAGAATGACGCTGAAGGACAAGTCGAAAACGCCGAAACCGTTGAAGATCAGGAGGTAACGGTCCACATGCAGCGCAAAAACGGCGAAGTAACTCATGCCCAGGTCCACGAAGGCCACGTCCACGTCCACGAGGAAAACAAATACCACGACCGCGTAGTCGAGGAGGGCAACGTGCAGGCGCTCGACGGAAAAACCGGATGGCCAGGAAGAGGTCAAGAGCGCAAGCGGAAGACGCCCCTTGCGAGTGGGGAGAGCACTGAGCGGGAGCCGGGGAAAAGCTGGTGGGGATATTTTTTTTGATCGCGGCCGTAACGACAAATCGCTCGGCGTCAAGTCGAAGCGCAGCTAACGAGCAGCGGACTAAAGTAGGCACTAAGCGCGCAGGAGCGAACTTCGCTGCGGCTCAGAAGGCGAAGCCGACGCTGAAGAACAGGTAAGACACGCCGAAGCTGATGAAGGCCAAGGTGATGGCCTCGATGCAAACCAGCATGGCGAAGTAATTGTAGCCCGTGATCATGTCCAGGAGGAGGACCGAGACAAGTCTGGCAGCGTACAAGCGCTCTTCGACCACGAGGAAGCGAATGAAAAGGCAAAGCGATAGCCGCGGCGGAGGGTCGACGGCAGGGCCTGCGACATCGATAGCGAGGTGGCAGAGCGCATTGCCAAATCACCAATCACGTGGGAACGGCTGGTGGGGATACTGTTGGTCCACAGGCTCGCGAGGCGGGTCGAAAGTCGTCCGAACACTAGTCGGGCCGCGACTAGGCAGCAGGAGAGGAAAGGCAGCTGGTGGGGATACTTTTTTGATCTGCGGCCCGCAAGGAAGAGTCCAGAGGGCGTGGCGATCGGGCTGACTGGGGCACAGAGCCAGATAATTTGCGAACCCAGCCGTCACTGTCGACAGCCGACCGCACATGCAAGCATGCAGAGCAAATGAGCGGACTGGAGGGGGGATCAGGGAGACGCAACATTAGCGGACTGGAGGGGAAATCAGGGAGACGCATCTTAGCGTCGAGAATGCGAGGAGTCGCCGAAACGGCGCCAGCTCAACGCGACAAAATATATTCATGGGCCGGTACAAAGCGTAACCCGACCAGCCCCAATACAAGTCGCCGTCTTCAGGGAGACGCATCTTAGCGTCGAGAATGTGAGGAGTCGCCGAAACGGCGCCAGCTCAACACGACGAGGGGGGGAGGTGGGGGCGAAGGGAGGAGAAGAGCTGGTGGGGATACGCGACGCGTCAATAATGTATTCCGAAATCGCGCTCTCGCGTGGGAGCCCCTAGCAATTCATTGAGACACCGCGCCGTCGGCACTCAGGATCCACGCTATCGTTCTGGACTTCCTCACGATGAACTTGAGAATCGCGCCATCGTTCGAGACTTCCTCGCGGTTCATGAAAAACTGATGTCTCAACTTCCCGCCCGCTCGAACGGGCCGTCTGGGCCCGCCCGCCCGACCCGCCCGTTAGGATCCGCCCGCCCGACCCGCCCATCTGGTTCTGCTGCTTGCTTTCCTACTCCTAGCACGCCTGCTGCTAATCCTCTCTCGTCCTCCATCCTTCTCATTCCCGCTTGTCCCTTCCCTCCTCCCTCCCTTCCCCTGGTTTACGGGTTGCGTCGAAAACACTTGGCAGGTAAGAAACACATACCCCCCAAGGGGGGGTACGATCGAAGATGAGGAGGTCGGGCATCGAGGGTTTGTGATATACACGTTGAGTGGCACGCGAGCAGATGAGAACGACTGGTCTTGCTGTGCCCTGAGAGTCCTGAGAGTGTCGAGGCACTGGCGTCGAGACACCAGCAGCACCGCATGCTGGTTAAACTCTGCAGTCAAGGAAGACCATTCAAAGTAATGCAGTATCCGCCGATTCGCCCAGGACGCGTCGAATAAACGCGTTCTCGTTCGACACTCAATCGCGGCTACTTCTAGCCACTTCGATCCAGTCAAGGCTCACCGCGTCAAGCACTCTAGCCAGCTGGCCTTCCCAATCCCACGGGCTAAATCTTGAAAGTCCCTGCCAGTCCGAAGCTTCGCGAACGTTCTGATGAGCAGCGCACTGATAGTTCCACCGCAGCATCTGCGATGTTAAACGACACGGGTCATATTCCATCTGACGAGCCTCGCGGCCCGCGTACCCATACGTGGGTCAGGCGGCAACCACGTCCGAATCTGGGGTGCCCAACGCGTCTTTTAGACTGCGGAGCTCCCCGTTCTGACGCCTGGCAACCTTTTCTTCGGGCTCAGCAGCTACGCGGTGCAACCTAAGATACTCCTGGAAAATGTAGTTTTGCCTTGGCCGCAAACGGAACAAACTACGCTGATTGTACATGCGTGCTCCAGCAGATCATGAAGCAACGCCTTGACAGATCCGTCCAATGAGCTCAACACGTTGCTTTCGGGAGCCGCTCTTGGAAATCAGCATGCGGCTGGCATCAGCAGCGGAAGCTTCGATAGCGAAGGATTTCTTGAGAATGTACTGCTCGCCGCGGCCAGTGCGATTGAAATAAACACCCACATTTTTCATATAATGGTCTTCACAATTCGTAGTTCCATGCGATGGTGCTTCATCTGCGGCCTGCGTGTCATATCGTAGGTCTTTCGACGGTGCGTCCAAGCCGCCTTGTTGCAAGGCAGTCAGCACGTTGACGTGAATGCGCAGGGCCGCCTGGATGCTGTGATCCAGGATGAAGATGTTGTCGCTGTGCGCCACGAGCGTGATATACACGAAGACGCACACGTGGCACCAGGGGCACCAACGATGGTGATGAGTATGGTGCAGATGCTGACGATGATGATGATGATGATGATGATGATGATGATGATGATGATGATGATGATGATGATGATGATGATGACGATGCTGATGATGATGATGCTGATGGTGGTGATGATGTTGATGATGACGACGACGATGACGATGGCGATGATGATGATGAGGATGCTGCTGATGATGATGATGTTGACGCTGCTGATGATGATGATGCTGATGATGATGATGATGATGAGCATGGTGCTGCTGATGATGGTGGCGATGCGGAGGTTGATGTAGATGTTGTTAATGGTAATGGGGATGTTGATGCTGCTGCTGTTGCGGTGGTGCTGGTCGTCGTTGTTCTTATTGCTCTTGTTCTTCATGGTGAGCTTGTTGACGCAACAGCTGCTGCTGCTGCTGACGCAGATGCTGATGATGCTGACGATGCTGCTGTTGATGATGATGATGATGATGATGATGATGATGATGCTGGTGTTGACGCTGTTGCTGCTGCTGATGATGCTGATGATGAAGATGATGATGATGCTGATGATGATGATGATGATGAGGATGGTGATGCTGATGCTGATGCTGATGCTGACGCTGATGCTGCTGATGATGATGCTGATGATAATGACGATGCTGATGCTGATGCTGCTGATGATGCTACTGATGATAATAATCGTACTTCTTGTTGTTGGCGGTGGTGGTTATGGTGGTGCTGGTGATGAGGAGGAGGAGGAGGCGGAGGAGGAGAAAAGCAATGCTGATGAGGACGATGAGGAGAACGCCTCCCCAAACTTGGCGTCCAGCGCGCCGGGGCCCTCGGACTGCAGCCCCAGGCGCATCACCTCGAACGCCAGTTCGCTCGGCTGGCTGAGAAGCTCGTCCCGCACGGCCAGGTACCTCTAAGGGCGGCCAAGTCCGCAGCGAGAGCGAGCTTCGTTCCCGCGACCCCCAGCGCCCAGCGTGTGGGGGGGAGGGGAGGAGAGGGACAAGGAACGAGGAGGAGGAGGAGGAGGAGGAGGAGGAGGAGGAGGAGGAGGAGGAGGAGGAGGAGGAGGAGGAGGAGGAGGAGGAGGAGGAGGAGGAGGAGGAGAAGAAGGAGGACGACAAATAATGATGCGGGGGAGGACGAATGATGAATGAAGAATGAGGAATGAAGACCAAAAACGAACCGGATAAGGAAGAAACGGAATAATAATAATAAGAGACGGAGGAGGAAACGGAGGAGGATGAGGAGGAGAAGGAGGCGGCAGAGCAGGATGAAGAGGAAGAGTCGGCGGATGAGGGATGGAAGAGGAGGCGGAAGAGAAGGATGAGGAGGAGAATGATGATGATGAGGAGGAGGCGGAGGAGGAGGAGGGGGGAGGCGGAGGAGGAGGAGAAGGAGGAGAGGAGTGAGGAGGATGAAGAGGAATCGAGGAAGAGGAGGAGGAGGAGGAGCGGAGAAGAAGGAAGGGTGGACGGGGGGGCGGAGGCGGAGGAGGACGAAGGATAATGAGGATGAGGGAGGGATGGAGGCTGAGGAGGAGGATGGAGGACGGCGGAGGAGGAGGAGAAGGAATAATGATGTGGGAAGAGTTGAAAGAGTTGAGGAGTGAGAAACGAGGAACGATGAGGAAGGAGGAGGAGGGGGGAGGAGGAGGGCGGGGGAGGCGGGGGAGGAGGGGGAGGGATTGAGGAGGATTGAGCAGAGGAGTAACAGGCTGCTGGGAGGAGGAGGAGGTGGAGGAGGAGAAGGAAGAGGAGGAGGAGGAGAGGAGGAGGAGGCGGAGGATGGAGGAGGATGAGGAAGAGGAGGAGGAGGATGAGGAGGAAGGAGGAGGGAGGAGAAGGAGGAGGAGGAGGAGGAGGAAGAGAGGCAGGAGGATACGGGAGGAGACGGAGGAAACACTGCGAGTGTTGGCCCCCGAGCTGCGGAGTGAGAAACAAGGAGCGAGGAGGGGGAGGAGGAGGGAGGAAAAAAGGGGGGTGAGGAGGGAGGAGGAGGAGGAGGGAGAGAGGAGGGAGAGGAGGAGGGGGAAGAGAGGGAGGGGGGAGGAGAGGAGAACGGAGGGAGGGAGGGAGGAGGAGGAGGAAAAGGGGAGGAGGAGGTGAGGAGGAAGAAGGGGAGGAGAAGGAGGGAGGAGGAGGAGGTGGGGAGGAGGAGGAGGAGGGAAGGAGGGAGGGAGGAGGGGAGTGAGGAAGGAGTGAGGAGGAGAAGGAGGAGGGAGGCGGAGGTGGAGGGATAGGAGGAGGAGGTGGAGGCGGGAGGAGGAGGTAGGATAAGGAGGAGGAGGAGGAGGAGGAGGAGGAGGGAGGGGAGGAGGAGGAGGAGGACGGAGAAGGGAAAGAGGAGGAGGAGGAGGAGACGAAGAGAGGATGAGGAGGAGGAGGAGGAGGGAGGGAGGAGGATGAGGATGAGGAGGGTGAGGAGGTGAGGAGGATGATGATGACGAGGCGGAAAAAGAGGAGGAGCAAGAGGAGGAGGGAGGAGGATGCGGATGATGAGGAGGATGAGGAGGATGAGGAAGATAAGGAGGAAGAAACGTAATGAATGCGGAGGAGGAGGGATATGAAGAGGAGGAGGAGGAGGAGGAAGAAGGAGGAGGGGGGGGAGGGAGGGGGAGGGAGGGGAGGGGAGGAGGGCGGGGGTAAGGGTTAAGGGCAAAGTGTAGCATGCGCCGAAGCGCGGCCGACAGGCCGACGGACGACCCGAAAGGAGGAGGAGGAGGAGGAAGCCGGTCCCCCGCATGGGGCCGCCGGTCGCCGGGCGCCGGACGCTGGACGCCGGCCAGCCGGTCGCCGGTCGCCGGTCGCCGGCAGCCGGACAACAATTGGGCATCTCGGGTACGGATTGCTGGTGTCGCCCCGGTTCCCTAACCTGCGGGGTGCTCGTGAGGGTGCTCATCGAAAGTGCAATAATCGCACTATCTTACCAGCGCCCCGTGCGTCCCTCACAAGCACGAACCCCACAAGCTGCGGGAACCTTCGGCACGGGGGG